ATTAAAATCTACTCATGTTAAATATTTCATTATTTGAATTTTATTTATTTTAAAGTTATTACATAATATTAAATATTTTGATATATAATTATTTAGCTACTTTTAATTTTTATTTAAGATATTTAGTTATTGAAAGTTTTAAATAATATCTTACTTTTAAGTTTTTTTATTATTTGATTAACATTTAAATCGAATAATCCGGAAAACCATAATTTATAGTGTTAGTACATAATTTCATAATGAATTTTGTAAAAATATGAATATTATTAAATCTATTATAATTTTTTTTGTGTTTTTAATAAATATTTTAAAGTTATTATATATTTTCGTTAGAATATTGAAATAATTTTTAAATTTTTAATTCAAACTTTTTATATAGATATAAATAATAAGTGTGGGAGAGGATAAATAGGAATTACAGATAACTTAGGAGAGAAATAGAAAAATAGAGATAATTTAGGAGATAAATAGGAATTAGAGATAATTTAGGAGAAAGTGGGTATAGTGTGGGAGGTAGTTTAGGAGAAATTAAATACCTTGTAATTTATAAGTTTCAATTGGTTATTAGTATGTTAAAAATGTTAATTTTAACAAACCAATTCTTCTATGAACAAAAAATCAACCTAGAACCTATAATATCTATAAAAAAATATAACCATCCATTGTCATGTAATATCCATAAAACAACTTTAAACATCTCTATAAGTGACTTCATCTTCCATTCCACTCCTACAAATAAAAAGTGAAATAAAAAATATATTTGCAAACTAAGAAAAAATAGCTCAAATTAGTGTAAATAAATAAGTAATAAAATATTGAAAATGGTTTTAATTTTACCCAAAACTTGCAACCACTCTAAACTTCAAATTTATCTTCATCAATGGAGTCTTCATCACTAGAAGATTTGTCTTTTGGTGTGAGAGAGAGATTGGGTGCGGCGGTGGTTTTGTGAAATTGGTGCGAGAGAGAGACGAGAAGATTAGGGTTTAGTATTTTTTTTTAGTAATTTCAATATTCTATTTCAGTTTTGAAACAACCAATGAGATGCACTTTTCCAATAACCTAAATAATCTCTTCTCCTAAAATTTATCCTAAACTACCTCCCCCACTTTCTCCATAATTATCTCTAATTCCTATTTATCTTCTAAATTATCTCCAATTCCTATTTATCTCCACAATTATCTCTAATTTAGTACAGAGTTTCTCTCCTAAATTATCTCTAGTTCATATTTATCCTCCCCTACTTTTTATCTATATCTATCTAAATAAAGTTTGGATTAAAAAAATTAAGAATTATTTAAATATTCTAACAAAATTATATATTAACAATTTAAATTATGCGTTTTTCCGTATTATTAATTTAAAAGCTTTTCAAATATTTAATAATATGTAATAGCTTTAAATAAATAAAATTCAAATAACAAAAAAATTTAAATATTTTATAGATTATTTAAATATTTAAATAACTAAATATGTATCATAACTATATTTTAAATAGTTAAAATAAAGAAATTATCTAATAAATATATTTATATTTTTACAAAGTATATCACAGAATTATGTACTAACAATTTAAATTATGTTTTTCTGGATCATCAATTTAAATATTCTTCAAACATTTAATAATATGTAATAGCTTTAAATGAATAAAATTCAAATAAAAAAAATTTTAAATATTTTATAGATTATTTAAATATTTAACTAACTAGATATTTATCATAACTAGATTTTAGATAGTTAAAACAACGAAATTATGTAATAATTTTAAAATATTTCTTTAAAGAAGAAAAATAATTATAACATAATATTGAAATTGATAATAATTTAATATATTACAAAATTAATAATGAAATTCTGTATAATAGTATAAATTGTGATTTTATGGATAATTAAATTCCATAAACAACTAATATTTTAAAATTTAAATATTTTATATATTATTTAAGTATTTAAATAACTGGGTATTTTAAATAACAAAATATTTAACATCACTAGATTTTAAATAGTTAAAATAAAGAAATTATGTAATAAATTTAAAAATTTTTTGAAATGTAGAAAAATAATTATAACATAATATTGAAATTAAAAATAATTTAATATTTTTACATAATATTGTAAATAACTAATTTAACTTATATCAAGTAATAATTCGAGAAAATAAGTTTCAAAAAAAATAATATTTATTAATAATAATTTTAAACTCTTAATCTGTATTTATTATATAATTTTATATACTAAAATTAATATTTATTATATTTCAGTAATTATTTATTGTTTTTGTGATAAATGTATTTTCAATGATTATATATAAATTTATTTTGTTTTGTTATTTAATAGAAAACTTTCAATAATTATTGGAGATAAAACTATTATTAATGAAATTTTTAAATTTAATTTATTATACTTATTGTATTTATTGTATTTTGTTATAACTTATTGATTAATATTTATTAGAGATTAAACTATTATTTGAAATTATAATATTTATTTACTAAGTTAATAAATCTTTAGTACTTATTGTATTTTTGTAATTATTGTATTTTTTCATTATCAATATATTTTCAATAATTGTATATTTTTTCTATAAGTTTTCACTAATTATTGGAGATTAAACTATTGTTATTTATGAGAGGTGGGACTATTAATTTAGTTGAAATTATAAGTGTTCATGAGTTGGTTTAATTCGGTCGTAGGCTATTTGGCCAACCAAATTGACCTAGTCAAGTTGCAAAGTTGGTCAACTGAAACCAACTGATCTTTTGTGAAAACCGACCCACTCAAGTTGTATCGGTTTGGGTCGATTTTTTGGTTTGGTCAGTTGGTTCAAAAGATTTAAACTTAAATTTAATTTTAAAAATTATAGTGCAATTATTAAAAATAAATTTAAAAATTAGATTTATGATATAAAAATTTTAGACTAAGAAATATGGAAAATTTGCCACTTTTCCATATTAAAAATTATATTTAAATATAAAATATTAATATATATCCATGGTTAGATCATTCGACTTTGGTTGGTTTACAAACGGACAAAGTGAACTTAATCCAACTTGGTCAAATTGGGAATTTTTTTAACCAAAGCTGACCTAAAATACTAGAAAACCGACCAACTCAAGTCAAGTTGATTGGGTTGGTCGGTTTCATCAGTTTGATGAATATGAATAATTACTAATTATTTAAAAAAATTGAAAATATAAAATAATTGTATACTCTTATGTGATTCTATTAGGGTCATTTACTAGAGCACGCCTTTGGGAATGGCAATTTTCCCCATCCCTGACGGGAACCCAACTTCCCCAACCAGATGGGGCTAGGGATGGGGATTGTTTTGGTGGGGGTGGGGGTGGGGATTAATAGGAATCCCCGTTCAGGGTCGGGGATGGGGATTGTGTTCCCCGCCCCACCCCAACCCCAATTATATATATATATATCAAAACATATTTAAGACATCATTTATACTTTAAATTTTGTATTTATTTAAAAAATACTATTATCTGAAAACATTTTGGGGATTCGGGTCCCCACGGGGAACCCATCCCCGTTGGGGATCAAGGATGGGGGTTAATTTTAGAATTGGGGTCGAGGATAGGAAATATGATCCCCGCCCTATTTCCATTCCTACACACCTTATAGTTTTACATATTTACTTAAACCTATGTTATAGTTTTCATTTTACTAAAACATCTCATATATTTTATAAATTATTTACTTAATCAACCTTCGTTAAGGAGTGTTTGTTTTGCCATTAGGCCCATAGTTTTTTATTCCAAAAATACCCTTAACATTTTTTTGTATAGAAAACAAAATTGACCAAATATAGCCAATAGAGTGGTTGATCGTGTCTTACTAAGGGCAAAAATTGTATTTTTATTTTTATTTTCTTTTAATTAAATTGATTTAAAGAAACATTAATTCAATCATCTGGAAGATTGATTAAATCCATTGCAAATTATAAGTGGTGTTTTAGTAAAATGCTAACTATAGGGTAGATTTCAGTAAATCCATGAAATTATAAGGGGTATTTTAGTAAATAACCCTTTCTATTATTTAACTTCCGCTTAATAAATCTCGTGCATCGCACGGGTCCGCACTAGTACTAGATTAGAATTTGGTAAGATCTAAGAGCGTAGGATTAAAATCTTTAATCTCCTACAAATCTTTATTAATCTCTATTTAATATATAAAACATTAATTACAAATATTTTTAAATAACATATATATAAAGATATATATTATTTACAAATATCTGGGCCAGGCCTAAAAATTAGGCCCAAGCCCGGGCCGGGCCTTAACAAAAAACCTAGGCCCAAGCCCGAGTTTTCTAGGCCGGACTGAAATGATTACCCCTATCGAGAATGAGCGAGAGATTTTAGGTAATTTTTATGGAAATGAAAGCATCTCATTAGTTATTTAAAAAATGATATGAAATAAAAAATAAAAATTTAAAAAAGGAGAAAATTCCTAATGTACTGTAATTTAGTATATATATATATATATATATATAAGCTTTGATCACTATTAAAGCATCTCCCTCCTAATTCCAAAAGACCACGGGCCTAGGCTATTACCAACCAAGAACAACATTTCATACATGAAATCTGAATGCCACATGAAAGGGACACCATTATTTGTTTTTTTTTTCGCCAAACAAAATCCCCAGGAAAAGGTGCGGTGATAGTCTGTTTCTACTTTCCACCGTTAGTCTTCAATCTTATCGGGCTTGGTTTTATTCACACTCAAAGATGTTACAACTTTAGTAATGAGACAACCCAGTAGTTGAGATGGTCATTTTGCGTACTGTATCCATCCGTGTAATCTACAGAAAAGTTAGTGGACCTGTGAACACGTCTGCTAGCTGCTGCAACTGTGGTTACAAGTTATTAACACATCTTTGAAATAAAAAAGCTTAGGTGAAATGTGTTGAATTCATTACAAATACCAGCCTTCTTCCATTTTATTGAAGGGTCACAACAGAATGCTACAACCACGGTAGCAGCAGACGTGATCTCAATGGACCTCACATGCTGGAGGCGTCTTTTAGACTTCTGCTTCAAAACAGACAAAGTGTATACCAAAGTCAAGTTTCATGGATCCAATTAAACTTATAAAATTATTTTTTGTTCTGACCCCAAGTCAATTTATCGTTCGTTTTTTATAATCAAATGCTTCCTCTGTAGCAGTACTCTAATCTACTCAAGCACATTTCCTCTCTCAAGTAGTCAGCATGGGACCTGCTTTCAGCCTCCGTAGTGTTATCTCAGGAGGAATAAACAGTCTCCTATTTCTCTCCTTCCTTTGTTGCCTTAGCCCTTGCAAGGGAGCCAATCCTGTTTACCTCTACACCGTCTGTCCAAATACTACCACTTACCCTTCTAATGGCACGTACCAAAACAACCTCAACCTTCTCCTCTCTTCCCTCTCCTCTAACGCTACACCCACCAACCACGGTTTTTACAACACCACCGCTGGTCGGGGTTCCAATACTGTATACGGCCTCTTTCTCTGCAGAGGCGATGTCACCGACGACCTCTGCCGTGAATGTGTCAAATCCGCCGCTCAAACTATCACCCAGCGGTGCCCCAACGGGAAAGTCGCAATTACTTGGTACGACGAGTGTCTGTTACGTTATTCCAACCAATCATTCTTCTCTATCATGGATGAGACACCATCGTTCTCTATGTACAATACACAGAACAACTCGGACCCTCGGCAGTTCAATCAGCTGGTAGGGGATAAGCTTGGCGAGCTTGCAACTACGGTGGCCTCTTCTGCTAGCAAGTATGCCACTTTAGAGGCCAACTATACGAGTTTCCAATCGTTGTATTGCCTTGCTCAGTGCACGCCGGATTTATCAGGGAGCAGCTGCAACCAATGTCTTAGAGGTGCCATCTCCCATCTCCCAGTTTGTTGCAGTGGAGCGGTAGGGGCAAGGGCTGTTCGGCCGAGCTGTAATGTCAGGTACGAGGTGTATCCTTTCTACCGGATCACTGCTTCGGTGCCTGCCCCGTCACCTCTTCCTCTTTCCACTCCGCCTACGAGTAATACAACTACGGCTTCAGGTAAACTCATTGAAGTAACTTTCGATTGAGAATTCGGAAAATTTCAATTTGCTGGTATCCCAAAGCAGAGGGCTGCTACTCTGTTTCCCACCAATCCAAACCGCTGAAAAATTCTTCCATTTCTTTAAAGCTTAGATTCCAAATTGTTGTGATTTCTTAAACATCTATGTGCTAAAATTCTTGCGATCATTGCTTTGAAACTTTTGAAGAAAGGAAGTTGTTTATCAAATCACCCTGAAAATCTAGAAGGCAATCTTGAATAGCTGATGAAGTTCAATAAATACGCTAAATTATCATGCTACAACACTATAGCCACTTTTTCTTTTCTTTTTTGGTTGGGCAAACTTTTTTAGCCAATTCCATGATTATAGATAATCTATCTAATACAATTAAAGAGATTAAAACTGAACTTGTTTGGCATCTCTCTCTCTCTCTCTCTCTCTCTCTCGCGAAGACAAAATTCAATATTTTTACCAGCGCATGTTCTGTATGAAGTTCTTTCTCTCTTTGTGCAGGAAAAGGGAAAAAAACATCAACTGGAACCATTGTTGCTATTGTTATACCAGTCGTCATCGCAGTGTTACTTTTATCCACCTTTGGCTATTGTTGGCTAAGTAAGAAGACGCGGAAGAAAATCACTGGTAAGAAGCTCTAATCTTTTTTTCTTCTACTCTTAAAAGAATTGTTTGTTTGTTTAGAGTTCAATATAGGTAATCATGCTCCCTGATTTTTGAGGGCAAGAAAAGTTTTTAGTCTCTGTGATACAAGCCATAAAAACCAAATAAGCTTTCCACTAATTTTTTATTTTCTTGGAGTGTTACCTATGTATCCATTCCAGACTTATGATTTTGTCTTTGCTTCGGTGTAGTTGGAACTGAAACCAAAGGTGTCGAGTCACTGCAATTCAACTTCAGTACAGTTGCTGCAGCAACAAACAACTTCTCTGATGCTAATAAGATTGGTGAAGGTGGATTTGGTAGCGTTTACAAGGTAAGAATTTGCAATCCATACAGAGCAATAAAATTTCACATATCTGAGAGATAATCATAGAGTTAATTTTATTATTTATAATAAATTCCCAGGGCAAATTTCCCAACGGGCAAGAAATTGCTGTGAAAAGGCTCTCTAAAAACTCTGGGCAAGGTGCAGTGGAATTTAAGAATGAAGCCATGTTGGTTGCCAAGCTCCAACACAGGAATCTCGTTAGGCTCTTGGGGTTTTGCTTGGAAGGAGAAGAGAAGATACTCATCTATGAGTATGTTGTCAATAAAAGCCTCGACCACTTCCTATTCGGTTTGGCCCTGGAACTCTTATATTTGAACAATAATTCATTACATTCCGTTTTGAGCTTTTTGAATTTTAATCTCAAAATACATTAATATTTTGACAAATTAATTATTTGTGTGAATTATAGATCCTGATGAACATTCACGCTTGGATTGGCCAATCCGTTACAAGATCATAGAAGGGACTGCTCGAGGGCTTCTTTATCTTCATGAAGATTCTCGGCTGAAGATTATTCATCGCGATCTTAAAGTTAGTAATGTCTTGTTAGATGGCGATCTGAATCCCAAAATATCTGATTTTGGGATGGCAAGAATTTTTCAAGTAGACCAAAGTGAAGCAAATACAAACAGAATAGTTGGAACATAGTAAATACTGAACCTTGTCCTTAATTTGCCTCTATATTCATGCACAACCACACCTCAGATCATCGTTTGCCGTGATCACTGAATGCTATCTTGTTTGTAATTGTAATTGTGTGCAGTGGTTACATGTCTCCCGAGTATGCAATGCATGGACAATTCTCAGTCAAATCAGATGTGTTTAGTTTTGGTGTGTTACTTTTGGAGATTGTCACCGGGAAGAAGAACAGTTCGTTCTTTCAGTCAGACTATGCGGAGGATCTTCTAAGCTATGTAAGTCTGAACTTTTTCAAGTATGTGATACAATATTATTGGACCTTAATTAATTTGAATGAATGGTATTGCTAATGTGTGGATGAATTGGTAAAGGTGTGGAAACATTGGAACGAAGGAACAGCATTGGAGTTGGTTGATCCAATTTTGGGGGAAGCTTATTCGAGAGACGAGGTGATGAAATGTATTCATATTGGGTTGCTGTGTACTCAAGATGATGTAGCAGATAGACCCACCATGGCGACGGTGGTGCTCATGCTCAACAGCAATTCCGTCACTCTTGCAGTTCCTTCACGGCCAGCAGTTTATGCTAGCAGTAAAATGTTTTCAGGCGTGATTACAGGAGGTGAATCTGAAGGGAAGGCAACTGAATCGGATCAATCCGCGACTAAGTCAATGCCGTGGTCTGTCAATGAAGTGTCAATTACTGAATTGCAGCCTAGGTAGATATTACCGTTTGTGTCGCCTGGACTGGTGGGGTTTAATTAATTTAAGGTGTTTCTTTTGGGGCCTGCTACCTACTACCTACTTGAAGAAATAAATTGGCCTTCAAAAGTGTAGAAGCAAATTAATTTGTATATGGAAGAAATTTGAACAAACCTACTGGCAGTTCCCAACTGAATTATATTATGCTTTAGGAGTGTGTTATGTTTTTGTCATATCAATTTTCTGCTGATTCTTCATAGTAGACAAAGAGGACGGCAGCATTTTTATTGCTCAAAGTCATTATTTATTTATTTTTTTTTATTTTTTGAAGCCTGATATGGCAAATTCTTCATATAATGTTCAGTGAACAATCGGAATGGATACATTCCTCCAAGAAAGCTGATGAGGGCGGATTTGGCCCTCTAGTGAAATTATGACACCTGACACCTCATGCCAGTTAAGTGGTCTCTTGCCAATCAGGCAGCTTGGAGCTCATCACCAAAGAGCTTGCCACCAGGCAGTTCAGAGCTCATCACCAGGCAACTCGGAGCTCATCACTAAGGAGCTCGCCACCAAGCAGGTCGGAGCTCATCACCAAAGAGCTCGCCACCAGGCAACTCGGAGCTCATCGCCAAGAAGCTCGCCACCAAGGAGCTCGGCAGCTCACCAAGGAACTCTCCAAGGAGCTCGGCAAGGAGCTCGCCACCAAGGAGCTCGGCATCTCTCCAAGGAGCTCGCCACCAAGGAGCTTGCAGGCTCACCAAGGAACTCGCCAAGGAGCTCGACAGCTCACCAAGGAGCTAGGCAACTCTCCAAGGAGCTCGCCGAGGAGCTTGCCACCAAGGAGCTAGGCAGCTCTCCAAGGAGACTGCCAAGGAGCTCGCCACCAAAGAGCTAGGCAGCTCGACAGCTCTCCAAGGAGCTCACCAAGGAGCTCGCCACCAAGGAGCTCGACAGCTCACCAAGGAACTCGCCAAGGAGCTCACCAAGGAGCTAGGCAGCTCTCCAAGGAGCTCACCACCAAGGAGCTAGGCAGCTCGCCAAAGAGCTTGCCACCAAGGAGCTCAGCAGCTCACCAAGGAACTCGCCAAGGAGCTCACCAAGGAGTTAGGCAGCTCTCCAAGGAATTCACCAAGGAGCTCGCCACAAGGAACTAGGCAGCTCTCCAAGGAGCTCGCCACCAGGTAGCCCGGAGCTCATCACCAAGGAGCTCGCCACCAGGCAGCCCAGAGCTCATCACCAAGCAGCTCGCCACCAGGCAGCTCTGAGCTCATCACCAAAGAGTTTGCCACCAGGCAGCTCGGAGCTCATCACCAAAGAGTTCACCACCAGGCAGCTCGGAGCTCATCACCAAGGAGCTCATCCGGGGCCTCACGAGAAGCATTCCGTTTGACAGCCGTACCAGAAGACTGTACCCACGCCTCTTGCCTGACGGCACTGTACTTGCCAGCTTTGGTGGTTGCCTACTGCCTGACAGGACCATACTCTACAACAGTTACCTACACCCACCAGCTCAGCCTTGGCAAATAATGGCTGCGGCAGAGAATCAGAGGCGGTTACATGTCAGATCACCAGTATATAAAGACCTCACCCCCCCAAGGAAAGGGGGATGGAAAAATGAAGGTAATTCCTGCTCTCTAGCCCTCTCATTTCTCTAATATCATCTTCAAGCTCTCTACAATCAGAGTGCTAACTTAAGCATCGGAGAG